AAAACATCTGTGTTGTTAAAAGCGCAATATAAATGAAGGTGACTTGACTTGACTGGTATACACATAGAACATTATACATTCCTATTATTCAAATTAGTTAAATGATTATTAGTCTGCATAAACTAGGTCAGCCAGAACCAGGAACACTTCCTACAACACCCGATGTACTCGTTACATCATAAGAAGAATGGCATCTATGCTAATGTTACTCTTTGTTTATTCTGAGGTTTACTGTAGTCAGCCGGATCTGGGCCGTATCCAGATCAGATGGAGGACCTGCACCTAGACACGACCACAACGCATGATGTAGTCAGCCGGATCCGGGCCGTATCCAGATCAGATGGAGGACCTGCACCTAGACACGACCACAACGCATGATGTAGTCAGCCGGATCCGGGCCGTATCCAGATCAGATGGAGGACCTGCGCCTAGACACGACCACAACGCATGATGTAGTCAGCCGGATCCGGGCCGTATCCAGATCAGATGGAGGACCTGCGCCTAGACACGACCACAACGCATGATGTAGTCAGCCGGATCCGGGCCGTATCCATATCAGATGGAGGACCTGTGCCTAGACACGACCACAACACATGATGTAGTCAGCCGGATCCAGGCCGTATCCAGATCAGATGGAGGACCTGCGCCTAGACACGACCACAACACATGATGTAGTCAGCCGGATCCGGGCCGTATCCAGATCAGATGGAGGACCTGCGCCTAGACACGACCACAGGGCATGATGTAGTCAGCCGGATCCGGGCCGTATCCAGATCAGATGGAGGACCTGCGCCTAGACACGACCACAACACATGATGTAGTCAGCCGGATCCGGGCCGTATCCAGATCAGATGGAGGACCTGCGCCTAGACACGACCACAACGCATGATGTAGTCAGCCGGATCCGGGCCGTATCCAGATCAGATGGAGGACCTGCACCTAGACATGACCACAACACATGATGTAGTCAGCCGGATCCGGGCCGTATCCAGATCAGATGGAGGACCTGCGCCTAGACACGACCACAACGCATGATGTAGTCAGCCGGATCCGGGCCGTATCCAGATCAGATGGAGGACCTGCGCCTAGACACGACCACAGCGCATGATGTAGTCAGCCGGATCTGGGCCGTATCCAGATCAGATGGAGGACCTGCGCCTAGACACGACCACAACACATGATGTAGTCAGCCGGATCTGGGCCGTATCCAGATCAGATGGAGGACCTGCGCCTAGACACGAACACAGCGCATGATGTAGTCAGCCGGATCTGGGCCGTATCCAGATCAGATGGAGGACCTGCGCCTAGACACGACCACAACGCATGATGTAGTCAGCCGGATCCGGGCCGTATCCAGATCAGATGGAGGACCTGCGCCTAGACACGACCACAACGCATGATGTAGTCAGCCGGATCCGGGCCGTATCCATATCAGATGGAGGACCTGCGCCTAGACACGACCACAACGCATGATGTAGTCAGCCGGATCCGGGCCGTGTCCAGATCAGATGGAGGACCTGCGCCTAGACACGACCACAACACATGATGTAGTCAGCCGGATCCGGGCCGTATCCATATCAGATGGAGGACCTGCGCCTAGACACGACCACAACGCATGATGTAGTCAGCCGGATCCGGGCCGTATCCATATCAGATGGAGGACCTGCGCCTAGACACGACCACAACACATGATGTAGTCAGCCGGATCCGGGCCGTATCCAGATCAGATGGAGGACCTGCGCCTAGACACGACCACAACACATGATGTAGTCAGCCGGATCCGGGCCGTATCCAGATCAGATGGAGGACCTGCGCCTAGACACGACCACAGCGCATGATGTAGTCAGCCGGATCCGGGCCGTATCCAGATCAGATGGAGGACCTGCGCCTAGACACGACCACAACACATGATGTAGTCAGCCGGATCCGGGCCGTATCCAGATCAGATGGAGGACCTGCGCCTAGACACGACCACAACACATGATGTAGTCAGCCGGATCCGGGCCGTATCCAGATCAGATGGAGGACCTGCGCCTAGACACGACCACAACGCATGATGTAGTCAGCCGGATCCGGGCCGTATCCATATCAGATGGAGGACCTGCGCCTAGACACGACCACAACGCATGATGTAGTCAGCCGGATCCGGGCCGTGTCCAGATCAGATGGAGGACCTGCGCCTAGACAAGACCACAACGCATGATATAGTCAGCCGGATCTGGGCCGTATCCAGATCAGATGGAGGACCTGCGCCTAGACACGACCACAGCGCATGATGTAGTCAGCCGGATCCGGGCCGTATCCAGATCAGATGGAGGACCTGCGCCTAGACACGACCACAACACATGATGTAGTCAGCCGGATCCGGGCCGTATCCAGATCAGATGGAGGACCTGCGCCTAGACACGACCACAACACATGATGTAGTCAGCCGGATCCGGGCCGTATCCAGATCAGATGGAGGACCTGCGCCTAGACACGACCACAACGCATGATGTAG